AAAAAAAAATTATACTCGTATTGGTTGAGTTCGTCCAATCCGTCCGTTACCGTTAAACTACTCTAGCTTCACTGCTTCTGCTTCATCTGCCTCCTTTCAACTCGCTCGCTTACTCACTCACCGATTCACCCTCGGGGGGCGATGAAGTGCCGATCCGTGGCTTGTATATGGTCTGGCACGCCTCCGGTTCACCGAGTTACAGCCACCGCCGCACTCAACCACCCTCCCACTCTCTACACCGGCGGATCCGATGGCTCCATCCTCTGGTGGAACCTCTCCAGCTCCGAATCTGATCCGGTAACTCAAACCGCTTCCCTCCTTTAAATTATATTCCATTCCATTCCGTCTTTGTTTTTTTAGTTCAGCAAATACTTTATTGCTAGATAAATTGAGTCGAAATTGGTAGAATTTTGAGTGTGTGTTCAAATAATGATACGTCCTGTTTGGTTTCAGTTTTATTGAGGGAGAAAGGATTTTCTTATGTTATTTTTTATGTGATCAAATGATTAGTTGTGTGTTGCAATGATTTATGATAGTCATGGTTTGGATTGATTTTATCAGGCCTTGAATTTTTACTTCTGGTAGCAGATTTTTAATTTTGAAGTATGCTAACTATGTCATTTGTATTCTTGCAGGAAATTAAACCCATTGCTTTGCTATGTGGTCATGCTGCGCGCATAGCTGATCTCAGCATCTGTTATCCTATGTTAGCTTCAGGAGATGGAAAGACAGACCATTTGAGTAATGTCGCATTGGATTCTCCTTCGGATAATTGTGGTTGCTTGATAAGTGTGTGCACTGATGGAGTGCTGTGTGTCTGGAGCAGAAAGAGTGGACATTGCAGGCGCAGAAGAAGACTTCCCCCCTGGGTAGGCAGTCCGTCTGTTATTTGTACATTGACATCAAACCCGAGATATGTTTGTGTAGGATGTTGTTTCCTTGATGCTGCTCATATTTCTGAGAACCATTTGGAAGAATCAGTTGAAGTGAGTGTGGGCTCAGTGGATAGAGAGTCTCATAAGAGAAAGCCCCCCAAGTGTACTGTTGTTATTGTTGATACATGTACTCTTACCATCGTCCAAACTGTTTTTCATGGAAATTTGTCCATTGGGCAGTTGAAGTTTATGGATGTTGTTTCTTCAGTTCAGGATTGGGGTCAACATTCTGCAGTGGTAGGTGATTCGTTTGGTAGGCTACAATGGGTTCCTATTTCAAATGATTTCCAGAGAGATAGTGAAGGATTGCCAAAAAATTCTTCTCAGTTACAAATTGAGGTTTGGGAAGATGGCCTGGTTGAGGGAGGACAAGTTCTGTCTATTGCTACTTGTAAGAACATTATTGCTTTTGTGTTAAAAAATCGCTGCATATTTAGGCTGTTGGACAGTGCTATTACAATTGGTGAGGTTTCTTTTATGAACACTGTTCTCTGTCTTGAAGATAATTCTGGCCAATCACATATCGTAGGGGCCATGTTTCTTGAAACCGGTGATGCTGGGAACCCACTGGTTGCCAAGGAAGCCGATGAAACACATTCAGAGAACTTTTTATTGTGGAGTAATAGAGGATCTGCCATTGTGTATTCTACATCATATATAAATGAGACATTTAAGGCGGAGCCTCTTTGTGAAATACCTGTCGCACCATATCCCATTGATGTGAGATTATCGTTTTTCTTCATTCAGTTGAACCAGAGCATACTTCGTGTTGGATCAGTTTGTGCTCATGTTGAAGATTCTTTGCAGTGGGGACCACGAGTCACCATCTGGTCACTTGATGAGAAGAACACTGATGATCATCAAAAGCCCTGTGGGCAATATAGAATGCTGGGAGAAGGTGCTACTTTTCTTGAATGGATTTCAAGCCCTGGTTTAGATCCCAGAATTGGGAGCATAGGTGGTGACAAGAGAAAACTGACTTCTAGTCAAACATTGGGTCCATGTTCAGAAACTGTAAATAGCATAGATATTGACAACAGATGTTATTTTTCTGTTCCTAAGGAACAGATTGTATCATCATCCATGGTTTTTTCTGAAAATCTCTATGTACCCCACGCTGTTGTATATGGCTTTTTTAGTGGTAAAATCGAAGTGGTACGGTTCAACTTGTTTCAGGGAGTTGATTCTCCTGCTACAAGTCCACATCTTGAAGTGAATTCACATATATCCAGACAAAGCTTTTCTGGGCATACTGGTCCTGTACTATGCTTGGCGGCACATAGGATGGTGGATGCTGCCAAAGGAAGGAGTTTTAATCAGGTTTTAGTTTCTGGAAGCATGGATTGCACCGTTCGACTGTGGGATCTTGACACTGGTAATCTCATATCAGTAATGCACCAACATGTGGCCCCTGTACGCCAAATAATTCTTCCCCCTGCTCAGACTGAACGCCCTTGGAATGATTGCTTTCTCTCCGTTGGGGAGGACTCGTGCATAGCTCTTTCTTCTCTTGAGACTTTGCAAGTGGAGAGAATGTTTCCTGGACACCCAAGCTACCCTGCCAAAGTTGTTTGGGATGGCGTAAGAGGTTACATTGCATGTCTATGCTGGGACCATTCAAGAATTTCTGATTCCATTGATGTTCTGTACATTTGGGACATAAAGACAGGTGCTAGAGAGCGGGTCCTTCGTGGGACTGCTTCTCATTCAATGTTTGATCATTTCTGTAGAGGCATCAGTATGAATTCTGTTTCTGGTTCTGTACTGAGTGGAAATACTTCAGTTTCTGCATTACTTCTTCCAGTGAATGAAGACAGGAGCTCTCCTCGGTCACATTTAAAGAATTTTGAGAAAGGGGGTGCTTTGTCAAATATATTTGAGCCAATTGTTTCCAAAGTTCCTGTTAGTAAAGAAACTTCTGGAAAACCATTGCCAATCAAAACTGTTGTTTTTAAAAGCAGAAGCCAACCAATTAAATGCTTTTGCCCATATCCTGGAATTGCCACTTTGACTTTTGACCTAGCATCATTAATCAGTCCTTGTCAGAGACATGAGTCTGTAGCAAGGGACAGTGGTAAGCAAGAAAGTGCTAATACAACGGAACAGGTAACTGAGAGACAAGGGTTCCAACAAATGACCTTAGATGAGGGTCTCAAAAATGATTGGAATACAAAAGATGGTATCGAAGAGCATCACTGGGTTAGGTCACTTGAAGAGTATCTAATTCAGTTTAGCTTGTCATTTCTTCATTTGTGGGATGTTGATCATGGGCTTGATGAATTGCTAATAACTGACATGAACCTAAAGAGACCACATAACTTTATTGTATCTTCTGGTCTGCAAGGTGACAAAGGTTCTTTGACATTGACATTTCCAGGTTCTGCTGCAAGTCTTGAGGTAAATGTGAGACTTCTGTTGAAAACTGGGATCTTTTTCTTATTTGGCTTATCCATCCTCTTCTGAGTTACTACTTAACATTTCAGCTTTGGAAATCATCATCAGAGTTTTGTGCGATGAGGTCACTGACTATGGTGTCACTTGCTCAACACATGATTAGCCTGTCCCATGCCGGTTCAGCAGCCAGCAGGTATTATAGTTGGTCCACCTGCATAGAACCAATCAACTATGGTTATTATTTTTGCATCATATCTTCTGTAAATTCAATGGCCTCTAGGATTTAGCTGCTTTATTTAAATAATTTTTTCATACATCTAATATGATGGTTGATTTTCAGGTCATCATCCTTGAAAAAATATGTTAAGTGGATGATAGATCTCATCTCTTTAAGTTGATCTTTATCCCAGAAACCCCAGGTGGGACTGACTGTAGTATTAGCCTTCAACGTTGTGCCTTTTGTGGTTTCTCATGAAACCAACATCTTGTTCCTCGCTTTTTTTATTTTTATTTTTTGAACAGCATCTTGTTCCTCCCTTTTAGTTGCATAAATGCTAAGATTTCTCATGGGTTGTTTTGCTAGAATGTTATTCATGTGCATTTTGTCTCATGTTTAGAACCATTTGTGCTTTATTTGCAATTTTTTATGCTTTTGCTCTTATTTTAATTGTTTGCAGTGCTCTAGCAGCATTCTATACCAGGAATTTTGCAGATAAAGTTCCAGATATTAAGCCTCCTTTACTGCAGGTCACATCTTGTGCCCATAAGTTGATGCTCTTAATATGTGATCCTTAGCTGAGAATTACATACAATGACTTTGTAATGTTGTTGTTGTTGGTTGTTTTTCCCCCCTAAATGTCTCATAGCTGACTAGGCTTCACTGTTACCAGTGGTTTTGTTGGTGATAGGATTGACAGTTTGCTAGTTTATTTTCTTAGTTGGCTATGCTGAAAGTTATTGTCTGTTTTTTCTGTACAGCTTTTGGTGAGTTTCTGGCAACATGAAAGTGAACATGTACGTATGGCAGCACGCTCTTTATTCCATTGTGCTGCTTCACGGGCAATTCCAGCACCTCTGTGTAGTCAACAGGCAACGCAGCATGCACAACTGCTGAGATCTCTACCTGTCATTGAGGAAAATGACCTTAGAATTTCAGAAAAGGAAGGAACTTCCATTGTTGGTTTGGATTCTGATTGTTCACCAGAAACAGAAGGAGCTTCTCAGCTTGAGGAATCTAAACTGCTTGCATGGCTAGAATCATATGAGATGCAAGACTGGATTTCTTGTGTTGGGGGAACAAGTCAAGATGCAATGACATCTCAAATCATTGTTGCTGCAGCATTGGCCATTTGGTACCCTAGCCTGGTGAAACCAAGTCTTGCCACATTGGTTGTTCATCCCCTAGTGAAGTTGGTTATGGCAGTGAATGAGAAATATAGTTCCACAGCAGCAGAGCTTCTGGCAGAAGGCATGAACGGCACCTGGAAGGCTTGCATTAGTTCTGAAATACCTCGTTTGATTGGTGATATATTCTTTCAAATAGAATGTGTAAGTGGTCCATCTGCCAATTCAGTTGGTGAACATCAAGCTGTTCCATCATCCATCCGTGAGACTTTAGTTGGGACTCTTCTTCCAAGTCTGGCCATGGCTGATATTCTAGGGTTTTTAACTGTAACAGAAAGCCAAATCTGGTCCACTGCATCTGATTCTCCTGTTCATCTGGTATCTCTCATGACTCTCATCAGGGTAGTGCGTGGTTCTCCAAGAAACTTAGCTCCATACCTTGATAAGGTTAGTAGATCCAGTTCCAATTAACAACATATGGTTTATCTCTAACTTAAATTGCATGAAAGTATACTCTTATTGCATAAAAACTTAACAAACTTAGCTTTGCATTTTAGTATTCTGATACATAGATATACATACCTACATAGCTTATACATTTTTTCTTTGTTACCTTGTTTGTTAGACTTTGTCTGTGGTAATTACTTCAATATTCAGTTACCTTGCCTCACATGTGTTGTTATGTCTCTGCTAAATAGTTGCTTCTTGTGGGTTGTGGCCATTGTACACACTTATGACTTATGATGATATGGAAATGCTTTTTGCCAGAGAGTGAATTCTTTTTCAAATTTGTATCTGTTTTTCCTAAACTCTTATGGATGGGTGGTAAACTTGTTTCTTTATAATCAGCATACAATTTGTGGAAAGATTGTTGATTGTTTTTCGATTAGCTCGTGCAATTCTTCACAGGCTATCAAGATAGAAATATCTCAAAAACTTCTAAAATTTTAAACTTCTGCTTTTTCTAGTGATTTTACTTGAAATGTTCAGGTACCTTGGCTACTCAGTACTTTACAACAAATCATGTTGTAGAGAACTATTCTTGTTAAATATCTAGTGTGAATTTTTATGTGACCTTTGGACAGATTTACAGGTGGTTAACTACATTTTACAAACTATGGACCCCAGTAACTCAGTCATGCGCAAAACTTGCCTTCAGACTTCAATGACAGTGTTAAAGGAAGTTGTACGTGTATTTCCAATGGTAGCGTTAAATGAAACATCCACCAAACTGGCTGTTGGTGATGCCATTGGGGAGATTAACAATGCAAGTATTCGGGTATATGACATGCAGAGGTAACAAATAGTATATACAATTTTTTATTAATCTATTCTCTTATTATTCCTTTTGTTTGAATAACTGGACAGGTAATAATTGCTTTGGCATACTGCATTTTTTTCTCCTGTGTAGTGTGGCAAAAATTAAAGTTTTGGATGCAAGTGGACCTCCTGGACTTCCAAGTTTGCTTTCAGGAGCCCCAGAGTTGGCTGTAACTACTTTGATTTCAGCTCTAAGCTTTTCCCCAGATGGAGAGGTACCTCTATACTTTGATTTCATGAGCAGGGTTTATGCATGCCTGCAGAATCTACATTCCAAGTTGTTTCTTGCATGATTAGACTTAATCAAGGCTATTACATTCTCAGTAGTGCTAATACCTTTTACATTTCATAAAATCTATTTTATTTCCACCAGCACATTACTACTCTGTTCTTTCGCTTTGAAACAAATTTTAGACTTGTTAGCTTGTCACATGGATTTATCCTTTACCAAAGCATGAATATATTCTTTTTCCATTTCTAAAAAATTCCAACTGCCTAGATCTGATGAAATTGTATTTGACCCCATTGTCTTTAGAGTGTGAGTGTGTGTGTGTGTGTGTGTGTGTTTAATTCCCTGATGAATAAAATTGAACCTATTGACTTGTTTGGTATAATTATTTGCTTCTTTTTGCCAAGAAAGTCCATTATGCATGAAGTATCCTGTTCTACAATCATTTATTTAATCTTCCTAGAAATTACAGGGGCTGGTTGCTTTCTCTGAACATGGGCTGATGATCAGATGGTGGTCATTGGGGTCCGTGTGGTGGGAGAAATTGAGCCGCAACTTTGTTCCCGTTCAATGCACCAAAGTAATATTTGTTCCTCCATCTGAAGTATTTTCACCTGGTACCTCAAAATCTAGCATTATGGCAAGTATAACTACACATGACAATGAAGCCAATTTGCAGGTAGTCTTCCGTTTTCCTGAAAGTAGCTTTATTTTGAAAGTGCTTCATTTTGAAACCATAAGACCACTTTTTATATCCTCTCTGTAGGAGTCTCCTAGAAATTTGAGTTATGCGGACAATTTGAAGCTCTTGATTCAAAATCTTGACCTTTCTTACCGGTTGGAGTGGATCAGCAAGCGAAAAGTACTTCTCACAAGACATGGCCTTGAGTTAGGTAGCTTCCCATTGTAAGCATGTGGATAAGTTCCAGGATTAATTTACTTTAACATTCAAGTTGAAAAGTATCTTTGTGCACATACTGTCTGTCTCTGGAAAAACAATGTCTGCCCAGGTGGATAAAATTTGTTCCTGTACACTCAGTTGTCCCCAGGCCTTCTGCTCTATACCTTCTTATCTCAAGCTTTCACTTATAGCTCTGGGGTTTCCAGTGAGACTTGTGTGACCACCTCAACACATTTGTTGTTGCAAATGTTTACTTGATGAGAATGTAATGATTTCTTCGTCTGTTTTTGGTTGCTTAAGTGACAAGGTGAAGGTGGTGGATTCCTGCTTCGATTTTGGTTATCAAAGATCTTGTATTTATTTATGTTTACACTGTTTGTTATATTAATAAAATGCAGAAAGTTTCCTAGTATGATATGTTTTTGCTTTGATCTCTATTTCAAGGATTTTTTTTTTTTTTTGGAAAAAGTCTATTTCAAGGATTTGTTTTGCCAAGCAACACATCTAACATGTTTGTGGTCATTCTCTCCATTCTTTGTTGGAGGCCATTGATGTGGCTTACAGTATCCCTTCTAGTGTTGATGTCTATATCTCAAGAACCTCCGTATATTCATAATACTGATGTTGACTGGCATGTCTACGTACTGGTATTCATTTGAATATCATATTTCAAAGCTTTTAGACATCTTTAGGCATTGATATTGAGAATCTCAATCTTTTCTATTCTGACATCATAGAGATGCTAAAAATGAGCTATAAGGAGATTATAAAGCATATGTTATCTTTGGGTCTGTTCTATCTACTATTGTCACTTACAAATTCAAACTGGTATTTGATGGTTCTGTACAATTGATCTCTGCAGCGAGCCTGGAAGTCTGCATTCTCCCTCTCTGCCCTCCACTTTTGTTCAACCTTTTTTTTTTTTTTTTCATGGAATGCTTTTGTTCAACATGCTGTAAAAGTGTAAATCGTAACTTGACAGGCATTTTGTTCTTTTAGCTTGTCAGTGTTTAGATTCTGGACAGGAACTGCAGTTGCTTCAGCAGAGGGCTTAAGCTCTCCATTAATTTCTCACTAGGATGGTTGTGAATGCCCTCATATGTTGTAACGACAATGCTTGGATCCTTTGCGAGCCGTTGAATCTGTTTCTTCACATTGCAGGTGAGGTGCATGCAGCGATAGTAACTCCTTCAATACATGGAAACATAAACTGTGAGAAAGGACTACAAACCAGTGAAAATAGGGCATAATACAAACCAGAGTGAGGCTAGAGAGGAGCACCTGGGATGGATGCTGTTCTTTACAGATTTCTGTCCATATTTTCTCCATCTGTACCCGTCATCAAGAATATCATCGGCACTTTTAGTATGAAAGGCAATCTTCGGTGGCATAACTTTCTTGACCCTGCTAGATTTTCCTTTGCTTTTAGCTCCATTAACTGATGCCCCATTTCCAGGTGGTAATGAGAAATTTGATGCTATGGGTTTCTGCTCACCAAATTTGTTGGAATCAGAGAGGAGACCTATCCAGTCGAACTCGGGATCAATATGTGAATCTAGGCAAGGCAGGCTCATTGGGGTTGATGGAAGTGAATTAGTCAGGCTTAAAATGTCTTCTGGAGGCAATTGAGGTTGGCTTTCTGCATCCATTGTTAGGCCTTCTGCGCATTGGAAATGGAAGTCCATGAAGAATTTTTGTTTGAAGGATTGAATTGGACAGTACCATGCAGAGATCAACTACATATTTGAAGCTTGGACCAATGATAAAGCCACCCAACTCACCAACTTCCGTTCAACTGTCCTGTTTACAAGAAAGGTGAACAACGAGGCAGCTTATCTCATAATGAATTAATCTTATTGAACAAATAATGTAGTTTAAATGTGTTGAACTGCCACCCACTGAGGTATATTTTGGTTTTCTATCTAGAAACTTCAGACTATTCAAAAGAGGTTGTGGTAGTTTAGAATATATCTTAGGGAATCGACCCAGTCTCCGGTAAACCCTAAAATTTCTTGCTGGGGAATGACTTCTTGCGAGATAGAAATCTTGGATTAGAAGAATGTGTAGGATAATAAACCCAACCTT